CGCATTCGTTGGAGGATATTCCTAGGCCCTCAAGCTCAAAGAGATTCTCTAATAACTTGTTCTCTGAATCTTCGTGTATTGCTGTTAACCCGAATGAAATTGGTTGCTGATCTTGAGGGCAGTCCAATTTGCCGCGACCATATATGGCAGGTCCAAATAAAGTCTGAGCGATACGAAGACCCGAAGGGGTGCTTGTTGACATCCCGTTCTCTAGAACTAAGTCATAATATCTATCAAGTCCCACAAGTATTTTGGGTACTTGCCTTTCCCCTTGGAGTTTGGAATTGGCAATGCAAATCTGACGGTTTTCGAGAAATTCCGCATCTCTTTGGGACAATCTTACTGAAGGAAATCCTCCAGTTATAACTGGTTTGGTTTGAACAGTGAAATTTACTTCTCTCCCGTAAACGGACTGTATTTTTAGAGGCACTGTTGTGCTCTCAAATCTTTCAATATGCCCACCAATACCTGACATAATGCAGGTTTCAGTGGAGAGCTTAGGGAGTCCAAAATCGTTAGCTAGTTTTTCCTCAATGATCGATTTATGCGCTCCCGTATCAAAGAAGAATAATACTTTCTCATATCGCTGTGCGTTGTTGTTCCAAAGATTCCCTTCAGCGGTCATCAGAATCAGTTGTTCATTTCTGCTATTACCGAACATTGAAGAGCGGTCGTGCTCCTGCTCATTTTGCACGAGTTGTGTATTGGTCTGTTGAGCCCTTCTGGCATCGTTAGATGCACGATTGTTAACTCTGTTATCAAATCGTTGCGGTCTGCTGGTATTGTCTTGCTGGCTGTTCTCATTTTTTGCCCACCTTTGATTGTGCGGTGGGGGTCTGGCGATGTTGGAGGACGGTCTGTTCGCCAGACATAAAGTTACGTGGTGCTTCTGGCCACAATTGGAGCAGTTGGGTTTTTTACATTGAGTACTAGAATGGTTGTTATAAAAACATTTCCAACATAGGTGTTTCTCCCTGACGATGTCGCGTCGTCTTTGAACATCAGAAACGGTTCTGCATGCAGCCGAAAAATGGTTATTGCGTTCACAGAAGACGCACGTTTGAGGATACCTTTGGTTTTGGACTTTAAAGTCTCTAGTGAGTTTCGATTCCTTGGCATGTTCGCTATTGGAACCCCAATGTGTTTCAACAAAGAGTTTGGAAGAGATCTCCTTCTCGAGTACTTTTAAAAGTTCTCCAATAGTAATATTTTTATTGTCTTGATATTTTGCCAAGACGTCCTTTATGACTGTGAGAGGGAATTTTTTAATAATCGTTTCGGTCCACATTGGATCACTGGTAACTCTGATGTCGTAGTCCGTAGAAACCATTTGGTTCACAAGTGCTTTTATTGAGTCCAAACGATCATCGCAACTTTTCGCATTATTCGTTGCTACTTCTAAATCAAATAGTTTCTGCACTATTTTTGACCTATTCACAGGTTGGTTGCCAAATTTTTCCTTAAGGGTGGTAATTATCCAATCATAATTCTTGGCGATTGGTTGAATGCCCCTGATGGCTTTTTCTGCCTTTCCCCTCAAGCTATCCTTGAGTAGAACGATTTTTTCAATAACGCTCAAGTCACTGCTCGAAGTGTATCAATGATTCATATATGGCCCAATACTCGGGAAATTCTTCCTCATTGCCATGAAATTTGGGCAGGCTAATGTTTGGTGGTTTCACTGACCTTGTTTTTGTTATAGAATCAGAATTTACACCATCCTCGGATGTTGTATGGGACCAGTTTACTCCATTGGTGCTTTGAGTTGCATCCCCTTCAGTAATATCTCTAGAAGATGGTAGCTTAAGTTTTCGTTGTGCTTTCGCTAAGTTCACTCTTGCTTCAGTTAACTGACTCTCCAGAGTGTGAATGAAAATTTCCGCGTTACTCAAATGTTGAGAGTACTGTGATTCTTTTTCCATTTCTTGAACCTCTATCATCATATCTTTTTGATCCGCTTTTTTCGCGTTTGCAAACTGATTCTCCATTTTATCGATTTTTTCTTGGAGATTGGAGACCGCAGTTTTTATCCTGGTCAGTGCTGATGATAGAAGGGAAACGTTCGCTATAGCTTTTTCGTAAAGTTCTTCTTCATTTTCTGGATATGCTACGTTTTCTCCATAGCTTTCGTATTTCTGGAAGCAGTGTGGCTAGAGCGGAAGCGCAAGCGAGAACTGGTTTCTTGTAAAAGAATAGTGACATTTTATAGTCTTATTTTTACGATTCGCTGCTGTTGAGCGGTTGTTCAATGAGAATGAATACGCTTGTTGCGATTTATTAAGCGAGAATCCGCGTTTTCGGAGCGGTTGTTCTTCGGTAAGCAAGAAGGTAGCTAAGTGCAATGGAAATAGCAAATTTTCGCTGCTTTTGAGCGATATTAGAAAATTTGTCTGCTAAATTCGGCGAGGAATTTAACAAACAACAACGCTGTTGAGCGGTTGTTCTTCGCAAACTTTGTCTGCGGTTTTTAGGGCTGACTGAGTCCCAAGGGCAAGCGATTTGCTGACCTTAACGGCTTTAGCCGATGCACCAAAAAATGTGGTGACTTAGGCGGAAGGGTGGCGCCTTATAATTACGAGAGATGAGTATCTCTCTTTAAGAATGTATGAAGGTGGTTCAGTGGTTGGATACAAGATTTATCCTAATGGCACACAAGACACCCTGGTTCGGGCAGAACAGAAACCACAATGCCCTAAGCCCCGCCCCTAAGGAGCGGGGGTGACCGCGGGTTCTGGCCTGCGCCAGAACACTCCCGCCGGCCACAACAATCAAAACTTATGTACAACAAAACAATAATTTTTCTTTTGGACCGATGTCCCAGCTTGCTGCCCATAGTCGTCGTCATCAAGGTCGTCGTCTCTTGAAGCCGCCACCGCCTTGTCCTCGATTGGCGCACAATAGTACGTTGTGTGGTCGCCCACACGCCGCACATTGCACGCCGCAGTCGTCGTCGTCGTGAGCCGGCTTCAGACAGCGGCCGCAGAGGCCCAATCTCGCCACTTGCATGCTCTTTGCCACTGCGTCCGGATATTTATTGCACCGTGACGTTCGTATGACCGTCACGGTTATCCGGGAGT